TTTTGGTTAACTAAGCTAAAAACTCTAAACACTATACGCTGAGATTTTACTTACAGCTCTAATCATCGCTCTGGTTTAAACTCCGAGCAGGAAGCTAAACACCCACAGCTCCAGCTCAGTGAGACTCAGCAGCTGCATAAACGGCTAAACTGATCTGCTGTTGTGACTGTTATCCAGAAACTGTCATTTAAATAGCTGCACATTTGGTTTTCTCAGGGAAATATCAAAGAATAAACAGACAGTGGCTGTAGATAATTAGTTTTATTCAGTTTAACTTGTACACATTGTTCTCTTCCATGCTGGATATTTTTTCCATTGAAAAAGTCAGAGCATCTGCCGTCGCGTTTCCATGGCAGCAAGTTTACAGATTGGTTCTGAACATGTTACTGTCATGTTAAAGCAGCGTATGCATTAGTTAGTTGTTACTAGTTAAGATACGACTTATGGATTTGCAGTGCAACCAAATTTAGTAACTAAAAGTTTCAACCTGTCTAATGTTCACTAAGGACTTAGTAAAGACTTCACGGCCAAACTCAAGTATAAACCTACACAAAAATCGTGCAACCCAGTCCAAGGCTGGAGACCACTGTCCTAGCCTACATGTGACCACTGATGGTGGGTTTCCACAAAAAAAAAAAATATAAATGAAAGACCCTCAGCATATCTGTGATGCAGCACATTTGTGAGTTCAGTGCTCGGTTTCATACTGTTTTTTTTCAATACTGTATTGAAATCATTACACCCTTAACATACATTGATTACACAAATCTACAATGTTCTCAAAGTGCTACTTAATGAGTACTCATGAGATTTGTACACTTGACTCACCACTTGCCTAATAATACCTGTCTAATAAACCTGACTAATTACAATATTTTATCAAATACTAATAGTCTGTAATTTTAAATTAGAAGTTTACACAACCGTGTAACAGTATAATGCTGTTCTGCACTTCAGCCACACAGAACACGCAACAAGTGTTCTGAGATATTTCAGGTATGTATTCTGCTTAAAGCTGTCCTGCGAAGGAGCTGCTGATTCTATTTGTTTATTTTCACAAGTGTTAAGAAACTGCTCCAAATACAAACCGCAGGAACCTGATAAATGTCCTTTGTATTCTGCAAGTTTATTCTGCATGTCTGTATGTAAGTGTTTCAGCAAATGCTGGCGAAATGAAAAAGCGTAAACAGAAAAAGTGATGTGCTGGAGGGCCTCTATCTTGACCTAAATTACAGCTTCAACAAACAAATCACAAAGCAGTCATTTCATCTGAATAAAAGCAAAGACCCTCCTGTAAACCAGGCAGCAGTTTTTGCCTTTAAGCTCGATTGATAGATGTTCTCGGCTTACGGCCAGTCATCTTGCTTTTTGGGCCTTTGCCCGACACTCATTTTCAGGCAGCAGCGTAAACAATATCACAAACATGAATCAGTACTGTCTAGTCATGAGCTCTCTTTGCCAGCAGGGTCTTAGTGAAGCAGCCCTCTAAGCATTTCCTGCCAAAGCAGAGTGTCATACACTTCTATCAGACCTTATCCTCTATCACTCTGAGTGCTGATTAGTTTAATTAGGTCTAAAGCCCTGTCCACCCATTATTCGGACGTTTCCAGACCTCCAGGCTTGTTATCTGGATTGGTTAGGCCTCTCATCTGCAACTGGTACACAAATTAAATCCTAGCCTCACTTCTCGTCTGCGGCCTGCTCCACAATGCTGTCCAATTACAGAGATTTCAAGGAACTCACTTATGCAATCAAGTAATTACAATCCAATTTCACATGAATCACGAGCTCAACATCATTTTTAGATTTTCAAGAAAATTAGTTTTAATGATGTACTGTTTTTTTTTCAGATGTGAAGAAGTGGCATCATAATTATAGAGCCATTGTATCAACTTGTTTTTGCAACCTAATCAAGAGAAAGTGTAATCAGGAAAAAGATCATGAAATGCAGACTGATGTACTTGCAACTGTAGCTTATTTACTGTAGTGCTTTTAATGGAGCATATGGAAGGATGATGGATATCTACGAATGATAGTAAGCTTCCTCCAGGAGATGTTTGGACATGGTAAAACAAATACATTGAAATACATAATATCACAGCTTACTGTACTGATTTTATTTTTATTTATTCTAATATCAGTGTTTTTCTGAGCAAATAAAAAATTGCAGCACAGACAAATACCTTTTTAGATATATGTAGAATAAAAAGATTTCTAAAATATTCACACAGTACTGTGTGTGTGAGATCACACACACACACACACACACACACACACACATAATTCAGTACACACATTATTCAGTTATCGCATTTTTTATCAGCTCCACTTACTATATAGGTGCACCACTGAAGAACAGGGTAAAAGGGGGCTAAAAATTATGCAGAGAAACAGATGGACTACAGTCTGTAACTGTAGAACTACAAAGGGCACCTATAATCTCTGTATCTGTAATTCCAATTTAATTTCATTTTGTATTAAGAAACTGATACAAATGCACAAAACAGAGAAAATCCTTTTGCTATCCATCAGCATGCCAAAGTTCAAAGAAACTGATCTTCACGAAAAAACGAATACGTCTAACACACAAATAAATAACAACTCTCAAAGCAATAATTTAACCAATTCAGCAGCACTGGAACAGTGGCAGTTTTGTCAGGAAAGGGATGTAAGACACAAACTTTGGTGAAAAATGGTGAGAGTGGCAAAGAAAAGTGTTATGCTTAACAAATGACAAAAATTGGTTACATTTGGGGTCCTCCCATCTCCATAGCAACAAGCTATTTGCAAGAGCTTCCAGAAAAAAGGCCCTAGCATTGCAGAGAAACAAATTAAAGCATCTGACGTTTGCCATGTTTTTGACGCTTTGACTGGGAGCAGGTGCTGCGGTCAGATAAGACCACATAAGGCCAACAAGACCAAAACTTTTTGGCCACAGTCATCACAGGTAAGACTGACATATGTCTGGCATTAGGTGCACATTCCAAAAAAAAAATGATTTACCTGTGAAAAAGTGTTGAGATTCTTTAATGTTCTGGCAACTTTGCTGCCACTGGTCAATCACATCATTAACTCTCCAAAGTACCAGAATATTTTGCTCATAAACCTCGTTGTGTCTGCCAGAAGGCAACATATAGGATCTTTCAACCTGACTGAACCATGACATAACACACTTCAAAATCAACAGATGGACAAATGAATATAGGCATGGCAACATGACAATATGTCATCATAAACTATTCTCAGTATATCATGAGTAAAATCTGACTCTTAACAAATATGCATACACCAAAACTGCCCCCATCAGATACACAGAACTTAAAGCTTTCATCTTTGAGAGAGAGGAGAAAATCAAGCTCCACTTCTGCTTCAGATCTGAAAAAATCCACAGGTGTTTCTGTCCATCCTTCCACTGTGAGAAGACAACTCAACACTATGTGTCTGAGACGATGTGTAGCTGTTAAGAAGCCCTTACTGAGAAAAAAAAAAATGCAAAACAAAAAAGAAGCCTCTGGTGTTCTCAGAATAATGGACATCAGCATCACTGAATGTCTGTGGAATAATGAGAAGCAGAAAATGCAACCAACTTCTAAGACTGAACTTAAATTTATAAAAAAAATCCCTGCTGATTTCTTTGAAAAACTGAAACTAAGACTCTAAAGAGTAGAAGCTGTAACAAAGACAAAGGCTGGTTACATTAGATACTGAAGAATTGGATTTTATATTTATATGTTTAGGCCTCTATGTAATTTGCTGGAAATTCTGTACACAAATTTTGCAATAATAATACACAAACATTATATATATATATATATATATATATATATATATATATATTTACACACACATTTGTGTGTATTATAATTGCAAAATGTATTGATAGCATGAATTTCATATTTGATCACATATGATACAACAGGACAATATATGAGCTAAAATATTTAAGCAATAGAACACGAGAGGGAGTGTGTTATCGCGGAATAACATCACGGTTTTGATTTGGTCGTAGATCATCACTGCCGTGATGTTATAGCGATAAGACGCGACCTTGAGTGTTCTATTGTTTTCATATAACTGTTAAATAAATAAAGTAAGAAATTAATAAACTGGGCTGTGAACGAGTCATTTAATATGTTTTAATGTTAGCAATTCCTTCCGCCAAATTATAGCTCCTTAACAAGCAGCTTGTTGCTGAGCAACGCCATTTGTGAAAAACCTGTGATGTTATGGCGAAATAACAGCACAGTTAGAACGCTTCTCAACCAATCAGCTCGCATGGCCGGAACTAATTGTTGTATAATAGAAAATATTACACTATTACAGAAGTATTAGAGGACAACAGAAATCAGAAATTACTACAGTTCTGTATTGTAAGGGATATCAATGTCAGAAATCAAAATATGCTGTCACTTATTAGGCCCTCCTAATAAGAACTCTAGACTGGGTTCTATAACATATTGTCGAGGACAGCAAAATAGCAAAATGTTTAAGCACACCAGACTCATTTTAACCTCACTGCTTAGTTAACTGGACAGAAAGAGTAAGCATATGATTGTGGTGTGAGTGCCTGACCTTCTGAGGGAGTACACAAGTGAGTGATGCTGAGCACCAAGGCCCCCATTCAACGACTATAGCATCATGCCATGCCTTCCATTCCTGAGGCCAATACAGACTGAACAAAGACTCTTATATAGCCTTTATACAGCCTTTATACAGTCTTTATACAGTCTTTTACAGTGCTAATCCAGACACGCAGTGTTTTAGTACACACACACGCACACCAAAAACGCACACTGCTCTTCCTGGATGCTGTAGCAGCATCCCCAGTGAGGAGAGAAAGAGAGAGCATCCTCCCTGGCCTTCCCTCCCTTTCCTCTCCCTGCTTCCGCCTCCTCCATCATCCCCCACTCCCCTCCTCCTGCCTGCGCGAGCCTCAGCAGCCAGAACAGTCGGTTTACGGAGAGAAAAACAGCAGAGGCAAAAGGATTCTCAAACATTACCTGTGTTTCCTTGGAACAGCACTTAGCCTTAGCACTCACAACAGACGCAAAAGCAGCAGCCAGATTCAGTCCAGGCTAACGTCACATGACCAACCACCTGCGCGTCTTTCCTGGTCATGTGACTTGGAAAGGAACGGGCGCTTCTGGGATGTGTAGTTTACATTAAAGAATGAGTAAAGGAAATGTAACGAGAGCAGAGGCGTAGCCAAAGGATGAGCAGCTGTGGCCAGTGCTACCCTGGAATGACTCATGGCCACATTTCTGGCCACCCCAGTTATGGAAAGTGAGACAGTCAGCCATCATCAATCAGCCATCATTAATAAAGCCTTAATTATTACCTTATAGTGAAAATCTGCCGTTAGAGTTGCCAGTCATGCGAGGCTGCATTTAATAATTGGCATATCTTGTTGTGATTGGCTAATTTGCTCAGCTAACAGGTGAGTGAATGTGCGCTGGGTCCCTTCAGCAGTGCTGCTCTGTGAGCTACATTATGAGGTGAGCTGTTCCATGATAAGCTGAGTTAACTATTAAAAATTGCCCATCTATAATCATTTATCACGCTAGCTAATTTTTTTTTTACACTTGAATACACGCATGAGTCGTGGTTCCATCATACAGTGCCGTCTGGCGGGCTTTCTAATCATTAGACTCGTGTAACCTGTAATACAACCTAAATTAATAACTTCTATGGCCTGTCTATATGAATATGAATATATGACGTTAATATTGGGAAAGATATATATATATATATATATATATATATATATATATATATATACTTGATTCAAATGCATCAATGTTATATCAATACAGTAATGCCATTTTATTTTTTATTTTTTTCTTAGTGGTGTGCCGCCCCAATAAAATCTGTGGGTCTTACCTGGCTACCCCATTCTAAAAGTTCTAGCTACCTCCCTGAATGAGAAAGTAATCATACCGTACATTCACTGCTCAAAGTATTTTTCATTTCATTAAAAGTACTTGGATGTGGAAACAGGAATACCACTAAATCTGAGATTTAGTATGTGCTGATGTAAGTGGTGAGAGGGGCGAGAGGTTTTTTTTTTTTCATGTTTCTTGGACATAAACACTTAAAAGGCATTCCAGCTTATAGAGCTGAATACATTGTTGGTTGTGTTATGCAGTATTTTGTAGTACATCATACCATCTAACTTTTTTTCTTAATTTTGTTTTTGAAAAAGGTCCTAAGAAAGTTTACATCAGGTTTGTGTTGTTCTTAAACCACAGAATTGTTTGCACCTTTGTGCCCTTGCGTGTGTGTAGATTCTGTTCTTCCCTAAGAACAAATTCCAAATAAGAAAACCTTGGTGAACTTCAGAATCTTCATCAAAACTGCATAGAAATGATTAAAACTACATAAAACTGATACATCATTCAGCCAAAATCCCTGTAATGTCCACCCAGACTGATAGCCCAGCCTCTGATCTATAGGCTAATAAATACAGCCAAGTGAGCATTCGTGTATCTTTTGGTTGTGTAACAAAACCGTGAAGAAAACATTGATTCTAAAAACACTTTTAACCCTTTCAGCCAAAGAAAAGAAGCCAAACTCATGTAATATAACTAGATAGTAAGGTACTCTGCTGACTTGGCTCTAACTTTATCTTGTCCTCATCTGACAAGTCATTTCTATCCTTGGAGTGAACCATTCTCTTAGCTGTAATGATGATTTCAAGACAGTTGCCATAGTTACACAGTTGCAATAAGATATAAAGCATCCTAGCAGTAATCTTAGCTTTCTGCCTCCTCTTTGCTTAATTGCTCCTCTTCAGTTAATGAAAAAAAAATTCATTGAAAAAAAAAATTGAAAAAGCCCGCCACCAAAAATAATCATCAGAAGTGGATTTCCCTAGTCTTTAACCTCTTAAAGTCCCAGGCTTATTATATACTAAGGCTTATTAATCAGTAACTACATAGACTTCATTGCAAAAATGGCTGAGCTATTCTTAGGTTGTAGACGTGTGTAATAAAACCCTTAAACGGCCAGGGGTTAAACTGAAAAATCACGCTCTTATGATCACTGCACCACTGCTGTAGGATACTAGAAAGCATGTTTACAAGACGTTGAGTTTCCCTTAAAAAAAAACATGTTTTATTAGTGGCTTGTTTAATCAGTGACACATACTGTTTTATCAAGTCTTGGGTTAAATAGCCAGTGGCATTTCCTCATTCACAGAAGCAATTCACGAAAGCCTTTTTCTGTGAAGAGCTGGGCTTAATCCTGTGGACAGAACCCAGCCTTAATACTACAGTAGGCCTACTGAATGCCAAAGTTTAGTGTTTAAAGTTGTGAGGATGCACAGAGTGAGGATGTGACCTCTGTGGAAGGGGCTGTACAAGCTGCAGACCTGTGCTGGAGGGAAGGGGGGCAGAGATTGGCTGTTAATATTTCATTAGCCTGTGTGTATCGGGGTCAGCATCCGGCTGCTCCTATGGGTTAAGAGAGAAAGAGAGCGGGTGAGGAACATCCTCAGGGACAAGGCTCTCTCTCTACCCACACACTCAGGCTCACACACACACAAGCACTGGCGCTCAGTTCCGCCACAGAAGGGGAGAGAGAGGAGAGACGTGTTAAATACAGGTGGCAGACTGAGGCAGGGCAGAGGAAAAGTGCATTAACAAGAGTGTGATGTTATTGCAGACGCCCTCGCGACCTTCACACGCTGACAGTGTGGGCATGCACAGTCCCCGTCAGCCCGGCACCCAGCACAGCAGTAATGCCAGTGGCTTAGACCAAGAGCTTTCTTCTAAACACCACACATACGCTATGTTCCTTAAGTTAGCATTTCTTCAAATCTCCTTCATGAGGAAATTATGTACACATTAGGTTTACTTTTAGTATGAGTAGGATTAAGCTAGAAAGCATTACTTGACTCCAAATTACTTGACCTGCTCATCAAGATTTTTTCTGTAACCGAGGGTAGTAATAGCGAGTATGTTCCCTTTTGCTGCAGTAATAGCCTCTACTCTTCTGAGAAGGCTCTGCACTAGATGTTGGAACATTGCTGTGAGGATTTGATTGCATTCCGACACAAGAGCATTAGCGAGGAGAGGTAGAGTACTGATGTTGGATAATTAATTCAGGATTACAAACACCACTAACTCATCCCAGAGATTTTGATACATTGGATAATGACTTATTTTCTAGAAACATTGGCATAGTATCTCAAAAGGTCTTCATGGGGTTACTTTAAGTCCCTTATTTTCTTGAAATACTGAATTAGTTAGTATCTTGAAATAATTTAATGTATTTTCTCAAAATATTCACTTTATATCTTAAAATAATTACTTATTTTCTTTTAATATTTCTCTTCTATAAATATTGATTTTTTTTCTCAAACATTGATGTAACATCTCAAAACGAAAAAAATGACTTTATGAAAGTTTAATATCTCAATCATTATTTCAAGAACCTTAAGAAGTCATTATTTAAAGTCATTAATTTCAGAAAATAGGTAATTATTTCAAGACTAAGTTGATAATATGTCAATATTTGGACATACTGCTGTCAGAAACAGAGACAGAAAAAAAAATAATATATATTTATTTATTTATTTATTTATTTCTCCTCTACCTGGTGGGAATGGGCCATATTACACTGCATGGCTATGGGCATGGTGACCTTAGGCTCATGTGCTGCTGCTCTAGAGCATCCCATTCAATTGACAATGCTTTCTATGGAGATTATAAAAGTTGTGTGTGCAGAGTTGAACACGTGTCAGCAATGGGTGAACTTTAAAGCGGCTGCATTCATTAATTAGAGGGAGTGTCTGGATACTTTTGGACAGCGTACCTTCGCTGCTGATGGGACAACTGAAATACTGGTGTTCTGAACTGAAACTGTAGTGGTGCAAGAATGTGTATGTTAATCCTACACTGAAAATTCATGGAATTTAAATATGTACATAATTTGCACATTAATAAAAAATATTACAATTTATTACAATATATTACATAATTTTCTCTGTCTGCTTACGTTTGGGGATAATTTGAACAAAATAAACTCAAATTTATTAATTTTTCAGTCTATGCTGGTTTGTTTAACTCCTTAAATGTCACAGGCACATACATCATGCTTATTATTCAGTAACTTCATGAAGAACAGTGTAAAATGACTGAGTATTTCTGGCCCTGCTGGCAGATTTGCAAAGGTTAACGGGTTAATGACCTTTGGCAAGTATGTCTCCAGCAGTTCTATCTATCTGAACGCAGTACTAAAAGGGCTGTGGTGGTGGACCCCCCAGCTGTCCGCTGCATTCTCTCACAGCGTCTTGGAGAAGAGCGGTGGTGATGGGATATGAAATGAAACAGCATGCAACAGCCCCTATCCTGAATTATAGATGGCTCCCATCTGCTGACAGAGGGCCGGTCTGTCAGGCATCCTCAGTGTCACCACTCCGTGCACTAAGCGATCTTGTCCCATTCGCTGTCACCTCCCCATGAAAGGAGGAGATCCCCCTCCTCTGTGTCATCTCTTTGAGCCGTCTGAGCCGTAAGCATGAGCGGATACGGAGCAGTGCCATACCCCAGAGTGCAATTTAGCTCGGAATGAGGTGATAGCACTCCTCAAGGTATGGAGTTTCTACACTCTCAAAAAAATAAAGGTTCCTAAGTGGTACTTGGCCTTTAGGGAAAATGTTTGAGTATGCTAAGCTGAGGTTATTTAGTTCTTTAGGTTTTTCTGCATGGACTCTTATTTTGAAGGGCAGGGCTGTGTATGTGGTAGCAAAGCTGTAAACAAAGGAGTAGGCTAGCGAGTTATTTAATGTGAGTCTGGCCTGCAAACAATACGTCTTATAATATGTCTCAATGTGTCTTTCTCCTGTTGTTTTGTAGGCCATTGCGAGTTTTCATTGAAGCGGAACTATGGACCGGAACCTTAATGTCTCAGAGTTTCTCCCAAGAACCCCCTACGCTACAATACAGTGCAAAAACTACCAATTTTGAATTCATTGCTTCTGTGATGTCAATAAAACCACCACAATTGCTTATAATTGGGAACACAAGTGCACCTATTGGTAAGTGGACCTGAATAAATGGACAATAAGTGTAGCTACAAGGAGGTGTACT